AACACTGCACTGAGAGAGAGAGGGATTAATACAGTACCTGGATGGGTGATGGCTTCTCCCAGCCCATCTCAAATATTCCCATCAGCAACTCCCTCTTCAGACAGTAATCCTCAAACTCATTCCCCTTCGTTGCTGTGACATCCTGACAGAGCCAGGAAGAGAGACAGGGAGTGAGGAGGAGAAGTGCTGTGTGTGTGAGAGAGAGACAGTCGGTGTGAAGCTCTGTGTGTGTGAGAGAGAGAGAGACAGCAGGTCTCACCGATGTCTTGACTCGGGTGTCTTTAGGAGGCACGTGGAGACTCTTCTTCCAGTCGTCTCCGAACCTGCAGACAGAGCAACAGTTCCAGTCAGACTCGCACCAGCAGCGGGGGTGCGAGACACGCCTGGAGAGACACACCCAGCTCTCACCTGATCCCAGCGCTGCTCTGGCCCTGCAGGGCTCCTCCATGCTTGTGAAGGGCGCTGGGCGCCTTCCCCGGGGGACCTGACTGAGGGGCAGCCGGCTTGGGCTGCCCTCTGAGCTGCCCGTTCTGCTTGCCCAGCCCCACGACCACAGAGACAGGGTTCTCTGTTCTGGCAGTTGCCATGGCAATGCTGTGCCCCAGCCGCTCCAAAACGTGGATTTATAAAGTTGAGTTTGAAAGAGGGGGAAAAAAGCTCCAAAGATGAACTCTCTATATAAGTGCTCTCGAATTAAAAAAGTATTCTTTCAATATATATCTGTAAAAAAATATAATCGTATTTCTGTCTGTTTGTACAGGAGGAGCTGGACCCCTGGGAGTCTGTCCCTGAAGCCGAGGACACAGCAGGAAGGCCAGGACTCTCTATCCCTTCCCTTTCAACTCCGATCCCTGCCGGGAAGTTATCCAGGAGTCGGGGTTCAGGAGCGGGCTGGGGTGCGCTCTCTGCTCGCGGAGCCTGCGGGGGATTCTGGGAAGCTTGGCGGGAGAGGGCTCATCGTCGCTCGCTGGCGTCCAGGGCTCTGGTCCGGCTGCCGGTGCAGGACGAGGAAACGTGGGATCCCTGCGGCTCCGGGCTCAAGCGCAGTGCCCGCTGTGACAGGGCTGGGGCGCCCCCACCCCCTGGGAGAGACAGAGAGAGGTCAGGAGGTCACTGCGACAGGGCCACGGCCCACACTGGCTGTCCAGCACCAGGACAGAGGCAGAGAGGTCAGCACTGGTCCTACACACACACAGCGACACACTGACTGACCCACACACACACACAGTGACACACTGACTGACCCACACACACACACAGTGACACACTGACTGACCCACACACACACACAG